CTAAAACTGGAGAACTCCTAAATTAGTGCACAGTCCAGAAACAGATTTCAGTTCAGGAAGATCTTGGTGATAAACACTAAAAACATTTTGGCATTCTCCATCCCAAGCTTTCTCTGACTCAGAGCTTCAACATAGAGGCATAACTGGACTATCTGGCTTTACATTCTTTGTTTTCTATGTATGTTCACTAGCTACACAACTATCCCATCACAGTTTGCTGGGGCCACTTCACCTCCCACCAATTCTAAGCCACACTGATCTTTCAGTCCTCCTCAGGAAGATGACTAGGTACTGATCCAGTTCTCTAGCATCAGACTTGGAAGGGTCCAAGATGGTTCATTACTAGTAAGGAGAGGCCTGACCCCATACCCTAGCGTTTAAAGGGACCCAAATCTCATATGGCTGACCATGGTTCAAATCCCAGCTCCAGCAGCTTGAAAAACACACTGGGCGCATGTGTAGATGGATAAATGGCAAAGAGACTTCAGCCTGACCACAGCTCACTGAGGGGTACTTTCTTTCTCTTTCTGTCTCTGTGTCTAGAGAACACACATGTCCTCTGGCAAATAGAAAATAAATACAAAAAAAGGAAATAGAGTTATTACTAGAGGTAATACAGATTAATTTAAAAAGTTGTAATTCATAAATCTTTTCTGACCCCTGTATATAATTTATATTCTTAAAAATCTCTTTTGAGGGATCAGCAGGTAGTTGGCTGTAGTTTGAGTCCCAGACTTGGCAGCTTAAAACTCACGCCAGGCATGTGTGTGTGTGTGTGTATGCCCAAGATCCCAAGAGAAGAATGGAGGAGAAGGGATTGCAGGGTGGCCATCCCCCCAGGGGGTGATTTCTCTCTTTGTCTCTTTCTGTCTCTCTGTCTCTCTCTCTCTCTGTCTCTCGGGCAAGTGCATGCTCCCTGTAGTGAAGACTCTCTCTCTAAAACAAAACAAAATAAAACAAAACAAAACAAAACTCTTTGACCTCACTTAGCAAAAGAGCCCAGTGAGGCTAACATTGCAATTACTGCCTCTCTCTGAAAAATGAAGAAACTGAGGCTGAAAGTTGTTCCATGCTTAGCGTAGACCATCTAGTTATTTGCCAAAGTAAGAATAAAAGTTAGATATTCTACCAAGTTTCCAAGTCTGCTGATTTTAGAAGAAAGCCTACTTCCTAAAAGACATTGGCCATGCGCTAGACCACCATCCCACACACCTCAGGAGTAGAGAGAAATAAGCACACCACTGTCTCTATCCTGATGAAGTGTAAAGTGTACACACACACACACACACACAATCATCAGAGAGCCAATCTTCTATCAAATCTAAAATCTCAGAGTTCTAAGTTTTGAATACAATGATACCTCTTTTGATAATATATTTTGGTATTTTTTATATATATAAATAGTATCATAAGCCTATTCAAAGGCTTTTTTGCAGACGAAATGTACAAGTACAGGGAAATCTTTGCACATCCTAGGGTAAAAATATAGTCACCACTCACACTGAGTACATTTTCAAATCCGGCAACCTAGGTTTAAAAGATATAATGTTTCTTTAAGTGAAAAAGAAATGGAAGTGACACTAAGTTCAACCATATCACATATAACAGCAACAAGGTTAAACAGACAATTTCATATATACTCTTATCACATCACAATATTATAATCCTGAAATTTGCAAATCTTCAAAAGAACAACAGTAAACGTTTCTGCATTAAAAATCTGAAAGTGGGCATGGACAGTATTAAAATTACTGGCACTTACTCATGACAAAAAATTTAAGAAAGTGATAATACTTTTTGAACACTTGATTTAAAAAAACAAAATAAAACAAAGCAATAGTAAAACTCATAGATTTTGTTCCCAAACTACATAGCATTTAATAAATAAGCCATATATAAATGCTGGAGGCACTTCAAATGAGGATATTGTCTCTAAATGTCAATGTTTCCATAAAGTCTAAATATCATCTTCCATATTAGAAAACAGATTTCTTTGACAGAAGGAAAGATACTGTATTTTAATGTTTCCAGTAACTAAATACTCCAGCCCTCTCCATACTAGTTCTCAAGCTTCTCTCTCCCTTCTTCTCTCTGAAAATTAACTCAGTCTCTCGTTTGGGTAATGGACAGGCAGGAAAATTGGGTAAAGCCAGATAAGCAAAGGAGATGCTTCTCACCATAACGTGTATCTGAAGTGTCTGGTAGAGATCAGAGAACGACAGAAGCAAAAACTAAAAATTTTAAAGGCCTTTACCAGTCAATTTTGTTGTTGTTTTTTTGAATATAGTATGCAATGTTTCTTTGAATTTGACACTGTTCAGGAAAAGAAACATCCGAAAGTTTAGGATTATATAGGCTACACATAAATGTCATTTCTTTCTTCCTTTCTTTTTTTTTTGAGAGATTTTTGCTATAGGGCATGTGAGCTTGCTACAGAGACAGAAAGCAAGAAGTCACCCCCAGGGGGGATGACCACACCATAATCCCTTTTCCATTCTCTGCTTGGGATTTTGGGCACACATGCACATGCATCCAGCATGAGATTTAAGCCATCGGATCTGGGATTCAATCCGTGGTCGATCATATGGGAATCCAGTTATGTAACCATTATGCTATCTGCTGGTTTCCTAGACATCATTTTTTGATGCCTAACTTTTCTGAGACAAAAAAATATATAAAGCTTAAAATAATCTCTTCAAGAGCAATTGCTACTAGCTCTCCTATATTAACATCTTTACAGATTTCTTACTCTAATATCCCCAGGAAAGTCTGTCTAAGAACTATGTTGGCTACTACCTTATATACACAAAAATAGCTAGGCTTCAATAAAACAACAACATTAATTTCTACAGAATATGTGAAAAGGAACTTGCAAGGAAAAAAAAAAAAAGAGAAACCTAAGAGGTTGTTGAGGAAACGAAATGGGAAAATGTATCATCATTAAAGACAAATGCTCCCAGGACACGTCAATCGAACTAATCTTCACTAAAAATACGTTCAGTATCTTGACTGTAGTAATGGTTTCATAGCTCTAGACATTAGTCAAAATGTATCAGATTGATGCTTCAAATGTGTGCAGTTTTATTACATGTCAGTTAACCTTTTAAAAACAGCAACAACAAAAAAGAGGCACCAAACTAAATCAATCAAACAAAACTATCCAGGCTACAATGTATAAAAACAAATAAGTATACATTTCTAATTCAGGAGGACTACCAATTTTCAAATGTACCTAAAGACAAAGTTTCATGTTGCAAAAGCATACAAAAACTTACTTAGTTCTTATCAGGTGAAATATGCAATTTTCAACATTTTGAATTAAGGTAATCATTTAAATTAGTGAAATATAAATAAAATTAATGTGTGGGGGGAGACGGATGGGGAAGAAGATGACAGCAGCATGAAGACTAGGAGATGTTGGTGTGGAAAGAGGGTTGGTATTTCTAGGTACTAAATATCTAGCAGTAAACTGAAAAAGTAGCAGGTTAGCAAGAATAGGAACAGACTGTTCATTCATCTATGTGTTCATGCATTGGACAAGTGTTTAATGAAATCTTATGACTGTTAGGCATGGCAAAACAATGATCAGAAAAAGTGACATGGTCCAGTCTCTGCTTCCATTAACTTACATTGTGTCAGGGAAGAAAGTCACCTCACAAATACTGACTTACATGGTGAAAAATAGCAAAGAGTCATGGAAAGTATGACAGGAGTGTCAGAGAAAGTTCCATGACAAGGTGTTCTTTGAACTGGGATGTACACAATGAGTCACCTTTAAAGGGTAAAAGGCGGAGCATGTGTAAAGGCCCTGGGGCAGGTAAAACATAGTGCTTTTGAAAAACAAACAAGAAGTAGTCTATTCAGCTGATACCTCAGAGTTATGATCTATGAAACTTTATAATAGAGTACTTAGAAGGAAAGGCGAGCAACAAGAATGACACCAAGATCTGGGCAACATGCAGCTGGATAGATAAGTGTGCGATCTACCGAGACAGCAAATACAGGAGGGAAACTGAGATGCGGAGTAGGTGTTTGTTCTGATTTTATGATCCTTAGAACTTTCAACTAAAGATACTACATAGGACTACAGGGAGAAGTTGCTTAATGGGTACAGAGTTTCAGTTTTGCGAGATGAAAAGTTCTGGAGACTGGTTGCACAACCTGAATATACTTAACACTACTGAACTACACACTCAAACATGGTTAAGATGGTAGGCCCAGTCACGGTACTGCAGGTGACAGTGCATCCCTCTGCAAAGCTGGAGCTACATAGAAGACTGGGTTTGGTTCCTGGGTGGACCTGAAATCCAGCTGGTGTGCACACGTGCATGCCTGCTACTGGGGGAGGTTGAAGAGGCAAGGTTAAGGCATGAGGAGACCCTGTGAGGGTGTCCATTTTTCTGTCTCTCAATAATAAAACAGAATAAATAAACATAAAAAACAGTTAAGATTCTAAGTTCTGTTATGTAGCTTATTACAAATTAAAAATGTTTAACTCTTGAATAAACACTATGCTAGATAACTGATCTACTGATTGAGAGCTAGCTAGCTAGACTCATGAGGAAAGGTATGGACTGAAAATACACCTGTTGGATTCATGTAAAACAATCATTTTCATACACTGCTATCCATTCTTCTCCCCTTGTACCTTTAAACTTTCAAGTTTTCAGTATCTCTGTAAGTATGAGGTCTTCCCATCCTATTATCCCGACAGCCTGAGTTTGACACAGAATCTGTTTTCCTCTCCCAAAGGAAAACAACTTGAAGATTTTGAAGGATCAGTAGACAGGAAGTGTTTGTAGCTGGGCTACACAGCCACAATCCCCCAAGAATCTCTATTTATGCTCCTAATTCCAGCAAACATTAAAAATGATAAGCATAGACGAAAGGAAGAAAACACAACAAGTTACTCCTCTGAGTAAATAAGCATTGATTCTAAGGAAAAATCCATTGTTTGCACATCAATACACATCCCTCTGGAACAGCACTGTTCTGCCTACCTTGTTTTCGCACATCCTCTACAGCAGCCACCAGCTCTTCTTTGAGATCTTGACTCTCCTTAGCAATCTGTTCGCCCTTTTCCAGGAAGTTCTGCGTGGCTTGCTCAACAGATGCAGCCAATACGTGGGCTTTCTTTGACCTCCCTTTCTTTTTACCAGATGGGCCTTTGTTGCTGGTGTTGACAAGTGTCGTCACCTTAAGTACAAAAGAAAAACTGTCAAATGACTCTGCAAAACTGCCTGAAATACCATGTTACCATCTCATAATTTCTAAATACCCCATGTTTATTAACCCATGTGGTTTAATATTTGAATCAGGAATGCACAGTAAATAGCCTTATAACACAGCCTCATCAAGGAAAGTACAGAATTACATGAGTTAGTACAAAAATGTCATTATTTATTTCAGTAGAAATCAAAAACAAAGCATATAGGGTCAGCAAGTGGCATGGAGATTAAGGTGACTGGATCCCACAATGGTCAACTGTGTGGTTAGAATCCCAGAGATGGTAGCTTGAAAATCATGCTGGAAATGTGTATGTGCCCAAAACTATAAAAGTAGAATGGAGAAAGGATTGTGGCTTGGCTATTGCCTGTAGGGGTTGATTTCTCACTTTCTCTCTCTCTCTCTCTCTCTCTCTGAACCTACCAAAAAAAAAAAAAAAAAAAAGCATATAAAGCATATGAAGAAGTAGAAAGAACCAATTTGCCAATAGATTCCAAATTTTCCAGTTCACAGGGACCAGTAGATGCATAATGGTTATGTCGCTGGACTTCTACATAGTCGACTGTGGTTCAAGTTCTGGACCTAGTGGCTCGAAACTCACATGAGGCACATGTGCGTGTGTGCCCAAGATCCCGAGAGGAGAATGAAGGAGAAAGGATTGTGGCGTGGCCACTACCCCGGGGGTGGGTGGGTAAGGTTTCTCACTTTCTGTCTGTCTCTTTCTCTCTCGCACATGCCCTACAAAAACAAACTTTCTAAGAAAAAAATTTCCAGTTCACTCTGGGTTGTACATTCACAAATTGATGAGTGCAGGGCCCACTGGAGTAACCAGCCTCAGGAAGGCAAGAAAGGCAACACAAATGGGCAACGGCTCCGAGCATGAGTGAAGACAACCAACACCCAGCCCTGAGATCTGCAAGTCAGGGCAGAGGCGAGGGAGCAAAACGTGAACGGTGGACAGCCAGTGCCCATTACTTGCCATTGCTTTCCAAGGACTTTTGAGGGTTTTTGCTATTTCTGGCTTCATCTTATAAAAATAAAACTGCACAGTTGATGTGAGGGAACCAAATGATTCAGGGCTCAATGTTTAGTTAACCAGCTAAATTTTCCAGAATCAGAATTAGATTTGCATTTATTATCACTCCTTTTCTAAGTATCATGATTTGGATAATAATCTTAACTGCCAAACTTCTTTTAGCACTACTTAATTGGCTAACAAAGCTTTTAATTCCTTTCAAATACTATGCTATCACCTACAGACTTCTGAACCCTTATTTTCTGTCAGTGATAAGTTTTGAAGGGAAATGGATTCAACTGTTTTATATTCTACTCAGCAAAAGTTGCTGGTCATGTTTACTGCTTTTATTCCTTTTTTGTAGATATCAGCTTCGTAAGAATGTGGGTTCTGTGGTTTATTTTCATTGACATTTATCCTGGTTAGGAGACTAAAGATTTTATTGGAGGTTATCAAGAAAGCCAGTGCACAGAAAAGTTCCAAATACTGTAGCTTCTCATGTTTATTCCCAATCCGAGAGCCAGCAAGCCGATTAGTCAAAGTCACAATTATTGTCCGGCTAATTAAAAGGACAAGAGATAACACCAGAAAAAGAAAAGTACTGAAGAAATGTGAACTAAGATAATGAATACAGTTAGAATGAATACTTAAGTCTTTAATGTAGTGCTGGGAGCTGTCATATTTAGTTCTCTTTTGATTGCCAAATAATTAGACACTATGGATTAAAGAAGGATTCTACATAAGGATGTATAAATACAAATGCCAGACAAAAAAAGAAAGGTAAAATCATTAAAATTAAGAATGTCAGATAATGGTAGTTTAATGTCAAATGTGTATGTAGAGAGGAATACTTTCCAGTCTTTTCAGGACAACCCACAATAAAGCAACCATTAAAGATGACCTGTCACCATACTGCTTTGCTGAGGCGAGGGAGCATTTCCCTTAATGAGGATTTATTCTAACACATTAACTCACTACTCTTCCAGGAATTTCAGCTCCCAGAACAGTCAATACCTGGAAACAAACATAGAAGCCGTCTAAGCAAACATAACAACCATCTTTAAAATTTCAAGTTAGGCTATGTTCTTTATTAAAGGAAAATACTCACTTATTCTCACTGAGATATGATTTATTTTCATTTTATGCATAATTCTGAAAAATTTTTTGATCTAATATTTTAGGCTTCTCAAAACAGAAAAAATAGAGGGGAAGGGAGCTGGAATTCGTATGCATCTGATTATTTTTAAGAAGTGGGAACTTACAGGGAAGTTACTAAAATTGTTACTGACAACACCATGGGTCCGTTTTCTGTAGAGGCAAACACATTTCAACTCCTCTGTTATCTTATAACACAGCACTGTATGAAGCAGTGTAGGTAATGGAAAAAAAAAAAGGCATTATAATGTGTCAGTTATATGGAAAAAAAAAATCATGGACCATTACCAGAACATTCTCAAGAAAAATGTGATTTCTTCCAAATAAGCAAATCTGAGGGCCTGCAGCATGGTGGTGAAGACAGCTGGACCTCACATGGCCAACAGCAAATTGAAACTCAGACCCAGTGGCCTTCAACACACTCCAGGCACAGGTGTGTGCCTGCCCCAAACCCTAAAAGGAGGAGAAATAAAGAAGGGACTGTGCTGCGACTGCTCATGGGGGTTGCTTTCTTACTTTCCAAACTCTCTCTCCCTGTCTCTCTCTGGTGAGCACACGCCTTCTCTGGCAAACTTTACAAAACAAACCAAAGAAGCAAATCCATCTAAGTCTCTCTCTTTTTAAAAATAATAATTATTATTATTTTAAATTTGCTACAGGCTATGTGTACTCATGAGAGAGAGAGAGAGAGAGAGAGCCACCAGGTCCAGGACTCAAACCATTGTCAGCCAAGTGGGAGTCCAGCACTGTAACCATCCTGCCACCTGCTGGCTCCAATCCAGCCCTCTTTTTAACTAAAAAAAAAAAATTACTAGAATTAAAAAAAAAATTAGTTTTTTTGCCATAGGGCGTGAGCACTAGCCAGAGAGAGGGAAAATGAGAAATTACCAACCCTTTCCCCAGGGGCAAGGCCACATCATAGTCCTCCTGTTTGTCTCCTCTCAGGACTTTGAGCATGCATGCATATATGCCCAGTGTGATTCTCAAGCCACTGGTTCTGGTACTTGAACTGCAGTTGGCTACATGGAGAGCTAGTGCCTTAACCACCATACCACTTGCTGACCCAAAATTTTAGGTGAGAAAATTTAAGGTTGAAAAGTTGTTTTTTTTGTTGTTGTTTTTTTTTCCCTCATTTTATTCTTTTTTTGGGAGGGGGGGATTTTTGCTATAGGGCATGTGCGCTCGCCAGACAGACAGAGAGAGACAGAGAGACAGAAAGTGAGAAATCACCCCCCAGTGGGGATGGCCACGCCGCAATCCCTTCTCCATTCTCCTCTTGGGATCTTGGGCACGCATGCACACGTGCCTGGAGTGCGTTTAAGCCCCTGGGCGGGATGCGAACTGTGGTCGACTACATGAGAGTCCAGTGACATAGCCGTTAAGATAACTGCTGGTCCCTCCCCCATTTTATTCTATAATTAGCATTCTATTGATAGATCATTTTGAGGCTAATTAGTGGGAAGGCCAAGACAATCATTTCTTTTCAGTCAGCTCAGTTCTCTTTCCACTGTAAAGGTAATAAGCTTTTAATAGATTAGCAGAGGATTATCCAGGGTGTGCACACGCCAGCTTCCTGCTGCTCCTTTTCTGGCCACAGAGCGCTCCTGCTCCTTTTCTGGCCAATATAGGAAATGTTTGAATGGAAGTAACAAATAGTTTCTTTCCAGTAAGAGGTGGGAAAGTGAGGTCCATCTTTTTATGGTTAAACTCTTGGGAATGCCCAACCTACTCCTTACTGTGAAGTCTTTGATGTAGTGCTACTCACCAGCTCCCTCTGCCATGCACTGTTCTCCCACCCTGTCAGAGTGTACAACTCTTCACACTACCGTACATGCACACACTGTACCTTTTCCCACCTGAAGCTGTCATTGTCACCTCGATGCTACACACTTTTATTCCTAAGTTATGCCTATATTGGCACCTAAAATTGTGAAAATGAAGGTTTATCTACTTTAGTTCTACCTTGATATTAATATTTTGTGGATGAGAAAATGTGGCTTAGAAAAGCAACAAAAATAGACAAAACAGCTTCCTCAGAATCACATGGCTTGAGAGAAACTGAAGGCTTATTCTAATGCTCTGTGCTGTATCTTTAAAACTTGAGGACTCAGGGGCCAGCAGGTGGCGTGGTGGTTAAGGTGTTGGATTCTCAGAGGAACGATGGTGATTCAAATCCCGGACCTGGTGGCTTGCTTTCTCACATTCTCTATCTCTCATTGATAAGCACACATGCCCTATAGCATAATTTTTAAAAATAATAATGAATAATACTAAATAAATAATTCTGGGAGGAAAGAAAGATATATTAGAGATTATCAATCAGTCTTTAATGACAAAATGTACTACTTTGTCCCATGGGCAGATTCACCACGTCTCAAGTAAGTTAGGGGTATCAGAATGATCAGTTCGAATCAACAGTGTAGTAGACTTGTATATATTTGATCCTTGACTGGATGCCTTAGAGGAAGCAGCAGGACATATTCGCATTAGAAAGGTGTAGGGACAGAGGCAGCCTAGAGTTAGATATGTGTCTAAGGTCTGATATTGAGATTGGTACTAGGTGTTAGGGTAGTCATTACTTACAGACTTTCACGTGTCTAGGTAGTTGCTGGCAGTTTTCAGAACTAGTTTCTTTTGTGTAAAATCTGATTGAATGTTATGCCTCCCCTACCCCAACCAGGGCTGCTTTCTAATCCTCAATGGCAATTATCACCCAAGGCAAGAGTCATTCAAGAACCAGACTCTCCTTCCCTCTCTAACAATTTGCAAGCACATGTGTGTGCACGTGCTCAGTGAGAAT